CACACCTCTGAGTGTTAAATACAACACTGTTGAGTGTTAAATTAACACTTTTGACAGTGTTATATGTTTAAAAGTAACCTAGTCAGTTTTGAAGGTTAACAAAACTGACTAGTTTTGTTATTTCTAACATTTTGAGTTATTTTCCAGTGTTAGAAAATCAGCACTGCTCAGTGTTGGTGTATTAAAAGGGAAAGGGGGGCACAAAGAAATACTTTTCTTTCTTATTCTCATTTAAAATGTCTAGCTTTTAAAAAATAATTATCTGAATCTTACAACAAACGATTGATAGATTGATGCATATATACCATCAAAACAGTGTACATCACTGTCACAACAGCGTTTGTTTTCATTCAAAGGCTTTATGATTTTTCCTATAATGGTGGGCCGGTCTTTAGTCAAAATGCCCGGGACGATTTTTTTGTCCCAGTCCAGCCCTGTATGCAGCTCATCTGCAGTCTGGTGTTACCTACATCTTCCTATTTGGAAGGCAGAATTTCCGAGTTCTGAGTACAATCGAAAGCACCACGACTGCAGTTTTTGTGTTGGATGTAAAAGGCGGACATGACACTGTGACGTTGGCTAGAATCATGGCAGCAGTCAACGACGGTCCAGGCGTGGCATTTCTCTCGTGGAAATGTGCACATTATCTTTTCCTTTCTATTAGTAGGTGGCACAGTGCACTGTGGCAAGTAAGCAAGCTAGAAGACTGGCAAAGTTATGGAAGCAACACATTAACAAGAGAATTCTGAGTAAAACCAAAGTTACTTTCCCTAGTAACTAGTTACTTTGAAAGTAACGAGTAACTTGAAGTAACTGAGTTACTTTTGAGAGAAGTAACTAGTAATGTAACTAAGTTACTATTTTAAAGTAACTTACCCAACACTGATGACCAATGACTATTTAGATCGCTTAGAGTGTTTTTGTGAAACTGCAAGTCGATGACTTTCAGATGAAGTGTTGTACATTTATTTTTCATTTACAGGTTTATCTTAAAGGTTTTTCCATTTGGTTGTTCGGTAATGTCCGTAAAAAGTATGAATGTTACTGAACTCTTACCTAGGATGAGTAGCCAATGAGCTGCAGATGCTCCACGGGCAAAGTTACAAAACTTTATGATCACACATTGTGTATGTTTGATGTGGAACATTCGCCCTGTTATTCATTTCTTTTTAGGCCAGAACAAGTCCAGTAAGTAAAATACACACAAATCAAGCTCTGACAGTGATGACAGGAGTTTTGCACACAAAGAAAATCTCATCAAAACAAAAATATTAATCCAGAGGTGCTGGAGGGTTGTCCAGGGGCCTGTTCTTCGTACGTCACTCACTACATCCAAGATCAAATGACACATCCAAGACCAAACCATCGCGCTAACCGTGAGCTCGCTAATCCGGTTCCCCGAACACACCTGCTGTTGACGATTAGTACAGCTGGACGCAGTAATGTGACATCACTGGGTGTCGTAAAAGGGGCTACGCATCGATAGTAGAAACATTGATCGGCAACCCGCTGATTGGTCGGCGAAAATGTCGAAGGAGCGCGCTCGGTATTTTCCGGCAGCAGAGCAAGAACTCATGAGTGAGGGATTTCAGGAGTTTCAGAGTTTAATGAAAACGCAAGAGAACACTGCAAAGGCTGAAAAAGCAAGGAGAGAGGGGCTGGCAGAAAGTTGCTGACAAATCAAACTCGTAGGTAATTTAATAATAATAATAATAATAATGGAGTGGATTTATATAGCGCTTTCCAAGGCACCCAAAGCGCTGTACGATACCACTATTCATTCACTCCCACATTCACACACTGGTGGAGGCAGCTACGGTTGTAGCCAGGCTGCCATATCGCGCCATCGGCCCCTCTGGCCAACACCAGTAGGCGGTAGGGTAGATCTATCATATGACACTATATTGTCCAATATCATATGGCATTATATTATATTATAATATGTTATATTATATCCCCTTTCACATTAGAGCCACAACAGGACCCACAAGAACATGGGAACAAGTAAAAGTGGAATACAGGAGTATTCTACAGAATGGTAATATTTATCTCTTAGATTGCTTTTCGTCTCTTGGCAAGGTAATACTGGCCTGTAATACTCTGTTAGTTTGTTCATAACAGCAACCAAGAAAAGGGCAGAGGAAAAAAAGACAGGTGGTGGTCCTGCACCCCCTCGTCAACAAGTTGGTTAAGTAAATAATACCCTCACGGGAATATCGATATCTCTCAATGAGCACACTGTCGCGCTGAGCTAAAGGATCCTGTCTATCCCGCAATATACGCTGAATTCTGAGGACTCTCCTTATCAATCTTGCACCTTCCGCAATGGGTTGGTCGCGTATACGGACAGGACATGGCTGCGACAGGCTTCCCAAATCCACCTTCGCTTTTATAGCCGTGGTCTCTCATCTTGATTACACGAAGTAATTTACAATTACTACTCTGAAATATGAATTACATCTGTAATAATCACATACATGTAATAGAATGTTAATAGTACATTTCCCTTTTTTAGGAAATGACCTGTATGTATCTGTGTGACATCAATAAAAGGATCAAGTGCTGCATTATCTTTAGTTACATTGATGTTATTTATTTATGGTGAAACAGTGGTGGAATATCGCTGTTGCTTTCGTATAAATGAAGCGGACATACCTGCGTGGCCGCGATCTAATCCTGTTTACATAAAGTAAACCTGCTCCCGAGCAGGTTTACGCTTACGGCTCTGTTGCTATGACAGCAAGTCCCGGATGAGCTTCGGGGAACCGAACGATCCAGGATCACGCAAAATTGTCAACAATCTAATCCAGCTAACTTACTTAGCGAGGTACGAAGAACAGGCCCCAGGTTTGTAGACACAAACCAGGTGTGGAATACTGCCTCCAGTACATATTTGGCACAAAAATGTAAAAACACTGGTCCAGCCTGCTGAATATAAAGTGCTCTTTTTTTCAGATTTTGAAAGGCTTGTGTTTTGTTTTGTTTTTGTTTTTGTGGTGAGTGCCTGCCTCATACTCTTAAAGCCTGTAAGTGAGATCTAAAATGGTAGGTTAAACAAATGGCAGTGATTTTCCTTCCTCATGTGAAAGTGTGTAAATAACACACCCAAAACTCAACAAGACCTTAAACCACAGAGAGCTCTGCAGTGCCTGCTGTGATGCAGCCATTTGCTGCTGCTTCACCCTAATCCTGTTTAAACACAATATGCTGGCTCAGCAGGTAGAAGTGTGGCAGCTCTGTTTGTGTTTCATCCACAGGGTCTCATGACAGCATTTTGTTTTTGTAGCCCTTTGGTGCACACAAGTCTCACAGGATACAGGTGTAAATGTGAGCTAAAACAGGCCAGTGTTTAGTTATTGTCATTGGTGATCTGCTGGTGATATTACAAGAATTTGTAATACAGACATTCTAAATAAACACAAAAACTAGTAGATTTTCCTTTCAAATAGACTCGCTAAAACAAACAGGCTAGTAGGGGGACAGACAGCAGGGTGTGTGGTGCATAGTCCATTTAAAGCTGTGTTAGTACGATTAATTGCATCCTGACAATAACTGAATGAGATTATCGAAGGAGTACAAATACCAAGGCTCTTGTCAATGTTAGTGTATGCAATAAGAATTTTCCTTCAACCACGGTTTGACAGCTCCGAGCTGTTCCCAGACCTGATCAGAGGATGCTGGCTCACGGCATGACTGCCATGAAAGCAGCCTGCAGAACCTGAGGTGGGGGGCTGTTTAAATGGTAGTCAGCATGTCCAAAAACCAACACATACAAATGTAACATAAATAAATAAAAATAGTAATAATGATATCTAAGCCACTTGAATATTTTAACTTTAAGCTAATATATACAAACTAACTTATATTTTATCCATCTTTAACAGTTGCCACACAATACACACAATCATTACTACTGTACACCAGTGTTGGTCAAGTTACTTGAAAAAAGTAATCAGTAACTAATTACTGATTACTTCCCCCAAAAAGTAATCCCGTTACTTTACTGATTACTTATTTTCAAAAGTAATTAATTACTTAGTTACTTAGTTACTTTTTAAAAACACGATTTACAACCTGAATAGGTGATAAAGCGATAGATCTTTAGCCCAGTTCTACTTTTTCTGCATAATCCATCATACAAAATGTAATCAAATGGAAAAGTCTCTTTTAAAAACTTGTTTTATTAGTTTTAATCTTTTAACTTTATGCATCAAGCAAAAATTTAATTATATGCAACATTCTCTGACTGGAAGAAATTTGTTTAATATTTAAACTTATTTTCTGCACATTCCAGCACATAAAATAATTTTTTTGTGTGTTTACACTCACTCTTTCAAATAGATGCAAGTAAAACACAGCAGAAAATAAATAAAGTCAAAGACTAGCAGTCCTGTTGCTCTATTTTCACCTGTAAAGCAGGAGTGCGGTAGGCGGAGGTTCACCCTGGTGCAGGTGTGCCGCAGCGGTCAGTGGAAGAATCCGCGAGTTTCTCTGTGAGTTTCCCACTATGTCATAGCGCACTCGGTGCTTGCTTGGAAGTTTAGGGGTTTTTTCGCTGTAAAAAGAAGTTTTCTTCCCATGCACAACGGACACTAATGTTTTTGTCACTTTTTATGGAATCAAACTCAAAGTAAGGTCAGTACTTCCACGCTTTAAACGCTGCACGCTCATACTCTCTCCCGCACTCGATATATTATCCACTGTTGATCTGCACACAGCTGTTGTCACGAACGTCACACTTGCTTAGGTCACTGTCATGAGACATTCTCGCAAAAAACTCACAGTTTTAGTAACGCAGTAACGCAGCGTTCCTACGGGAAAGTAACGGTAATCTAATTACTGTTTTCACAATAGTAATCCCTTACTTTACTCGTTACTTGAAAAAAGTAATCGGATTACAGTGCCCATCTCTGCTGTACACACATAACTTTTAATAAGTCTATTTTGTCAGTTGTCCTGTTTTTCTGTGTGACTTGCTTTTGTTTCTTTTTATGCTTTAGAATGAACTGACAGATGAAGATTTCAGGTTGGAGGTCACTCAGATCCATAAGGTAGGATCCTGTGTGTTTCTCTGACAGCTCTCAGATGTATTACTGTGCAGAAGGCTTCCCTGTTTGATTTCTGTTTGTGTGTAGGACTTCACAATGGAGACGTTTGCAGGGCCTGTGTTTGCCACGCTGCGTGGATCTTTAGGAATGACTGAGCAGGAGTATCAGCAGTCACTCTGCTCTGAAAATTGCTACCTCCAGTTCATCAGCAACTCCAAGAGCAAAGCAGACTTCTTCCTCACGTGAGTTACAACAAATTGGCTGATCATCTGCCAAAATGTACAAGTCTGATAAAGACAGATAAATCTAGCGGGGCCTGCAATAATGAACCCGAGTAATAAACTTTACACACAGATGTGCCCAGTTAAGTAAATGCTGCTTAAAGGGGACTGATTATGCTTTTCATCAGTCAGTTATTTAAGTTTTCCAATTACTTTTGAGTCTATGAAATTGTAGTAAAAATGCTTTAGTTCCGCACATTTTTACCTTTTTGGAAATAAGTGTTTCAGTGCTTAAGTATGAAAGCTGAAAGTCTGCATTTGAACTGCATCGGTGTTGTTCTGTTTGAAATTCACTGTGGTGATGTCTCTGTCCAAATATTTATGGACCTAACTGTATATAAGCAGCGGTCTAAGAGTAGCTGTGTATCATAATCATCATCATAGTTTATTTATATAGCACTTTAAAAACACACAAGGCTGACCAAAGTGCTGAACAACAGAAATATAAGAGACACAATAAGAATAATAAATACGATAAAATAATAAACATAGTAATAACAATAAAATATAATTAAATACAAGTCAGTTAACCACTGAGTCAAAGGCCAGGATTTAAAAATCTGGATTTAAAAACCAGCACTGATGTCGATTGCCATTTGTGAAGAGGAAGATTATTCCAAAGCTTTGGAGCCACAATAGAGAACGCTCGGTCTCCTCAGTTTCATCCGTGATTTGGGGACTGAGAGAAACAGCTGCTCAGCTGACCGGAGCAAACGAGTGGGGATATAGGGCTTCAGCAAATCAGACAAATATGCAGATGCCAGACCATTTAAGGATTTAAAAACTAATAGAAGGAGTTTAAAATGAATCCTAAATTCAATTGGAAGCCAGTGCAGGGAGGCCAGAACTAGAGTAATGTGCTCAAATTTCCTTCTACCAGTTTAAATCCGTGCTGCAGCATTCTGTACTAGTTGCAGGCAGCATGGATAACAGTCTCCAAATCACACTTTGAAAGAAAAGGTTTGACCTTCAACAGATGCCTGAGATGATAGAATGATGATTTCACCACCCATTCACGTGTAATTGAGCTCTTCAGGTGAGGGGCCAGAGCAGTAAGGTCGACATCAGGGGTATCAGAGGTACAATTCGGGCTGAACAGAATTGCTTCCATTTTACGTTCATTAAAATTTAAAAGGTTTAGAGCCATCCATGACTTAACATCACTAAGGCAATCAAGCAAGAGTCTAATTGTATTTTGCTCGTTTGTGTTGTTGTGTTTGCACATCTCTGTTGCTTGTGGGGCTCGCACACAAGAATTTCACTCGCATGTGCTGTGCCAGTGTGCCTGCACATGTGATGTGACAATAAAAAGTGATTTGATTTGATTTGATTTGATTTAATTGGGGAGCTATCAGAATGACTGAAAGGAAAATAAAGCTGGCAATCATCAGCATATAGATGAAATGAGACTTTGTGTTTTCGAAAGATCGCTCCCAGTGGCAGGAGATACAACGAAAACAGTTATGGCCCAAGAATAGATCCCTGTGGTACACCCCACAACAGAGGGGCCACAGAGGACGATGACGAGCCCAACTTAACACAGAAGCTCCCGTTTGAGAGATATGATTTTATTCACAGGACAGCCAAGCCAGAAATGCCCACACAATGCTGGAATTAAGAGATCAGCAGGTTGTGGTCCACTGTGTTGAATGCAGCAGTCATATCCAGTAATATAAGCACTACATGTTTATCACAGTCCATCGCTACCAGAGTGTCATTCATAACCTTTATGAGAGCTGTCTCTGTGTTGTGAAATGGCTTAAAGAAAAATGTCAAAGATTTGAGAGTTATTTAGATAATCCATCAGCTGAGCGTGAACAATCTTTTCCAAGATCTTACTCAGAAAAGGAAGTTTAGAGATGGGTCTGAAGTTTGACATAACTGAAATATCTGAGCCTGGCTTCCTAAGTAAGGGATGAATAACTGCATGCTTAAACTCGCTTGGTACTTGATCTGACAAGAGGCTGGTATTAATTATGTTCAGAATATGTGGTCTAACAGTAGGAAACACCTTTTTGAGAAAACGGGGATGAACAACATCATTCGGAGAACCACGCGGTTTAGCATTTAACACAACCTCCTCTAGTTAAGGTAGAACAATTGGTTGGAAAGCAATACACAAATTTGAACAGGGAACATCCACAGCCGGGTCACCAGAAGATAAAGTGGAGGGTCTGAAACCGGCAACCTTCTCCACAAAGAAATTAAGAAACTTATTACACATAACCTCAGAAGACTGCAAAAGAACATGATCCTCTGTATTCAGTACAGAATTTATGGTATTATACAAAGCACGAGGGTTATGTGAATTAACAGCAATAAGGTGAGAAAAAAAGGAGTTTTTGGCGGTCTTTACTGCCCTCTGGTAAGCTTTCCAGCTCGTCTTAAGAGCTTCCAGAGAGATGTACAGCCATTATTATCATATTAACAATATGATAATACTGTAAATAATAGTGTAAATGTTCTTGTTGGTTACAGACTCTCGCATCACCTTCATAACTTGTATTTGGATTTCATTATTTTAAATTATATAAGCAAAGTTAGATGAATTAGATTGTTAAAATTCTTATTCTTTTCAAATTCTGATAGATGTTCAACTCAACTCAAAAAAACATTGTGTTTTTTGAGTCCACGTGTGTCACTGACAGTGTTGGTCAAGTTACTTGAAAAAAGTAATCAGTAACTAATTACTGATTATTTCCCCAAAAAAGTAATCCCGTTACTTTACTGATTACTTATTTTCAAAGGTAATTAATTACTTAGTTACTTAGTTACTTTTTAAAAACACGATTTACAACCTGAATAGGTGATAAAGTGATAGATCTTTCAGCCCAATTCTACTTTTTCTGCATAATCCATCATACAAAATGTAATCAAATGGAAAAGTCTCTTTTTAAAACTTGTTTTATTAGTTTTAATCTTTTAACTTCATGCATCAAGCAAAAATGTAATTATATGCAACATTCTCTGACTGGAAGAAAATTGTTTAATATTTAAACTTATTTTCTGCACATTCCAGCACATAAAATAATTTTTTTGTATGTTTACACTCACTCTTTCAAATAGATGCAAGTAAAACACAGCAGAAAACTAGAAAAATTTGCATTTCCTGCGAAAATGCAGTGTGGATGCTTTAAAGCTGAAGCTGTATGCAAAAACTAGCTGAAAAAGCTGAAAAGTTGCAGAAATTGTAAAAACTTTGCAGAAGCAAAGGAACTTTGCTAAAATGTAATAACTTAGCAGAACTGCAATATCTTAGAGGAAACATAATACTTGGCAGAAATACAATAGCATAGCAGAACTTAGCAGAAATATTGTAACTTACCAGAAACATGACAACTTCTCAAAAATACAAGAATTTAGGAGAAATAGTATAAGAAAACAGAAAGAATATATTTAGCCAAAAATACTTAAACATTACAGAAACACTATGATTTAGAAAAATAGTACAACATAGCAGAAATACTGTGTTTTACCAGAGACACTGTGATGAACTATGAATATTGTAATTTTAAATTAATACTATGTTTTAGCACAAATACTATGATTTAGCAGAAATACTATAATTTGGCAGAAATACTATGATTCAGCACAAATACTCTGGTTTAGCACAAATATTATAAGATAGCAGAAATACAATTATATAGCAGAAATGCTATATTTAGAAAGAAAAATATAATATAGTAGAAATAGTATGATTTAGCAGAAATACTACAATATAGCATAATAACAATGATTTAGAACAAATACTATGATTGAGCAGAATAGTTATAACTTAAGTGAAAATACTGGAAAACTAAAATGACAAGCTGAGAAAAAAACAGAACATGGTTAAGCTGTCTCAAAACTAATTATTGTTCAACTGTGGGGAAAAAAAGAAATACAAATAAATAAATACAGAAATGTAAAGAGAGAGACACACACACAGGGTCTATGCCAGTCAAACAATGAGATGCTGCCCTAAAGAGGGTCTTTCTCTCTCTCTCTCTCTCTCTCTCTCTCTCTGTCTCTCTCTGCCTCTGTCTCTCACACACACACACACAGGGAGAGAAGCAAGTTTCTAGGTCAGTCAAGCAGCCTGGGAGCTGGTAAATTTGAATCCACCAATCAGAGAGGCTGTAAACTTTTCCCGCCAAAACAGGTGCACACACGCAGCACAGAGACAGGATTTTTGTAGTCTATTTCTCATAGTGAGGATTCCCCTCAAACAAATGACCATAATTTCCTAACCGTAGGGGCAAGAACTGTCATTTTTACACAGTTTTGTTCAGAAGAGATGGGGCAATCGTCAAGTGTTGACAATTTATCATTAAAATATGAATTTTTAGAGATATATGATATGGATGACGGGTTGGTTTAGAAGCCACGAAGGCCCCAATATGCAAATTTGAATGCCTCAGCCCACATATATGATTGGCTGGCTGGGAAGCCGTGGAGGCCCTGATATGTAAATTTGAATGTCTCAGGCCTCACAGAGGATTGGCTGCCTGGGGAACTGGCAGTAATATATGGAAATAGTATGCTTAAGCATAAATACTACATTTAGTAGAAATACTATATTTTAGCACAAATACTATAAAAAGCAGAATTACTAAAATTTAGCAGATATACTATATTAAGCACAAATCTTATAAAAAGCAGAAATAGTATGATTAAGCATAAATACTACATTTAGTAGAAATACTATGTTTTAGCACAAATACTATAAAAAGCAGAAATACTATATTAAGCAATATAAATATCCTATAAAAATCCTATAAAAAGCAAAAATACTATACTGTGATTTGGTAGAAAAACTATAATTATTCAGAAATACTATATTTGGCAGCACGGTGGCACAGTGGTTAGCACTGTTGCCGCACAGCAAGAAGGTCCTGAGTTCAATTCCACCATCAGGCCGGGGTCTTTCTGTGTGGAGTTTGCATGTTCTCCCCGTGTTTGCGTGGGTTCTCTCCGGGTCCTCCCACCGTCCAAAGACATGCAGCTTGTGGGGATAGGTTAATTGGATAATCCAAATTGCCACTAGGTGTGAATGTGAGAGTGAATGTGAGTGTGAATGGTTGTCTGTCCCTGTGTGTTGGCCCTGCGACAGACTGGTGACCTGTCCAGGGTGTACCCCGCCCTTCGCCCTATGGCAGCTGGGATAGGCTCCGGCACCCCCCGCGACCCTGAAAAGGATAAGCGGAAGCGAATGGATGGATGGATGGACTATATTTGGCAGAAATACTATATTTAGCACAAATCTTATAAAATAGCAGAAATAGTATGATTTAGCACAATAGTAATATCTTATACAGAAAAATTGGAAAAGCAAAATGGACAGCTGAAAAAATGTTGAACATGCTGAGGGTCCCTCAAATATGCTTGTTAAATGAAAAAAATCGGCAAAAAAAAATATAACAGAGACACACACACAAGATCCAATTCAGTCAACCACTCTAAATATGTTGAATTTGAATCTTACAATGGGATCATCCCATTAAAAGACTTTCTTTCTCTCTCTCTCTCCCTCTCTGTCACACACACACACACACACACACACACTCACACACACACAGAGGGAGAGAAGTAAGTTTCTAGCTCAGTCAAGCAGCCTGGAAGCTGCTGAATTTGAATCCACCAATCAGAGAGCCTGTGCACTTTTTCCCGCAAAACAGCTGCACGCAGCACAGAGAGACACAGGATTTTTGCAGTCTATTTCTCATAATGACGACTCCCCTCAAACAAATGACCATAATTTCCTAACCGTAGGGGCTAGAACGGTCATTCTTACACCGTTTTGTTCAGAAGAGATGGGGGAATCTTAAAGTGTTGACAATTTATCATTAAAATATGAATTATTAAAGATATTTGACTTCTAATGCACCATAACTGAGCAGAGCAAAGCAAAAACTGCCTTGACTTGCCCTCAAACAATGCTTTCTAACTCTAAATCTATTTGGAGTATCAATATCATTCTTTCTCTGTAAGAGACAGCAGGCTTTGGTGAACAATCATGGAAATTTTCAGGTCTCTGTGGAAATTCATTAAAAAGATATGACGAGAGAAATAAGTGGTTCATTTCCAGAGTTTGAAATCTGAAGAAATCTGAGCGAAGGACGAATTTCCTACCCTCAAACAAGTCTAACTCATTTCAGAACGGTAATAGGTGAGAAAATAATTCTTGAATTGTGAGCGTCAGGAGTGTCTGAAGATATACTGGGACAAGCCTTATGTCTTAACTTTGCTTCATTAAGGAGATATGACGATTCGAATATGCCTCTCATTACAGAAATCAAGCGGTGATTTTGAACAAACTCTCCATTGACTTTCTATGGAGAGTTTTGCGACTTTGTGTTGGTCTGAGGAGGTTTGCCAAAATTCTATAAATCCCACAACAATGATAGTGACATTTTCGGAAAGCCAGCAAAAATACCTACGTTTTGATGTATAATTTGTGGAAGTTGAGTGAAAATTGAGCAAGTAGCAAGAAGTTGTTCGGACATGAAGAGAAGACTGCAAAACCTTCAGTGGCACACTGGAAGCCAAGTGCAATAGCAACCATAACAACGCATGTATTTTGTGAAAAATCACAATTTTGCAACTGAAAACGTTAAGAGGCATAAAAGTAAAACGGTAAAAGATTTGAAAAAGCTGATTTATACCTGAATAGCCCAATAATTTGAGAACAATTTAAAGTTTGAATGGTTGTTCTACGTGAAAATATGAGGAAGTAGTTAAGTTTCAAAAACAAGAACATTTTAGCAGAATTGCAGAAGTTTCCCATTCATTTCAATGGGACAAATTAAGCTTAATATTTTAAAAAGTATAATAGTGAAAAATACCAAAAGACATAGCACACATTAGCAGAAGTAGCAGAATAGTTTAAAATTTGAACAGTGAAAATCGGCTGAAAATTGTGGAAGTAGTTAAGTGCCAAAAAGTGTACGGAAGTATCAAGAGGAACTCAATATGTGTGCTTAAAGCATCCACACAATAAATAAAGTCAAAGACTAGCAGTCCTGTTGCTCTATTTTCACCTGTAAAGCAGGAGTGCGGTAGGCGGAGGTTTACCCTGGTGCAGGTGTGCCGCGGCGGTCAGTGGAAGAATCCGCGAGTTTCTCTGTGAATTTCTCATTACGTCGTTGCGCACTCGGTGCTTGCTTGGAAGTTTAGGGTTTTTTTCACTGTAAAAAGAAGTTTTCTTCCCACGCACATTGGACGGTAATGTTTTTGTCACTTTTTATGGAATCAAACTTAAAGTGAGGTCAGTACTTCCACGCTTTAAACGCTGCACGGTCATACTCTCTCCCGCACTCGATATATTATCCACTGTTGATCTGCACACAACTGTTGTCACGAACGCCGCACTTGCCTACGTCACTGTCATGAGACATTCTCGCAAAAAAATCACAGTTTTAGTAACGCAGTAACGCAGCGGGAAAGTAACGGTAATCTAATTACCGTTTTTGTCATAGTAATCCCTTACTTTACTCGTTACTTGAAAAAAGTCATCGCATTACAGTAACGCGTTACTTGTAACGCGTTACTGTAATGCGATTTACTTGCATCTATTTGAAAGAGTGAGTGTAAACACCAGAGGTGGGACCAAGTCATTGTTTTGCAAGTCTCAAGTAAGTCTCAAGTCTTTATCCTCAAGTCTCAAGTCAAGTCTCAAGTAATGTCAGGCAAGTCAGAGTCGAGTCTCAAGTCACTGGTGTAAAAGTCCGAGTCAAGTCACAAGTCTGAAACTTTGAATTTCAAGTCCTTTCGAGTCTTTAAAAAAAAAAAACGAAAAAATAATGTTGCAGTTATGCTAAATGTAAATATTAGACCATGTAATTTTAAAATCTGTGTTTTTCTCAACACATGACGAAATAGTGAACTTAGAAAATATACACAAATTGTGAAATTGCACCTCTTTAAAATGCAGCTCAATTAAACCTAGCTCCAAGAATAATTTTCACCGACAGTTCTGAGATAAGCTGCATGTTATTCTTGGATGCGGTTGTAGGACCAGCTTTAAAATCGCATGACAAAAATATCATACACATTAAAAAAAACTGTATCACCAACGTAGCCTGGACAAGATTTGCTAGTTAGATGAAGTCAGCTATCTCATCTTAGCATATTTATATGCATATTTATAATCATACGGTTCTTGGAGTGAGTGCATACACTCATGAAGTTTAGTAACTTCAGGTCACTGCAACAAGCCCAGGTACAGTTTACCGACAGATGGGTGCAGGACCTTGAAATGCACCGTGTAGAACGAAAGACCATCGTACGTATCATAAGTTTACCAGTCTCACAAATTGTCGTCATAAATACACATTCCTTAACTGTTTATTAATAGGACCTTTGAGCTCAACGGTAATTAATTAGTAGTGGAAATAATTTCTGGTACCCATCACAGAAATGTAGCAGTGACAACAATATTGTATGCTGTAATCGTACTGGGCAATTAGTGATACAAAAAACCTGTTTTATCCTGTGAATAAAAGTATATGTTTTTGTCAATGCACCATAATAACAGAAGCGAAACGCAATATTGTGTCAGGACAATTCACTATTTATGCACAATAAACAAAGGAGCATAGCGCGACAATTTCTGTTCAGCGCCAGACTTGCTTGTAACCTATATCACTAATTATGTTATGAAAATGACGTATTAAGTACTAAAAAACACTGACCTTCGTGTAAATGCTTGGAGCAGACTAACCTGTGAGCTGGAGGGTTCTGGGACGTTATATTTGGTCTTTGAATGGCTGCAATCCAGGCCATCCGTCGTCTTTGTTACTTCGGAAACATGGCTTGAACAATTTCTCTTCAACGACGTAATCCGATAACAACCGATCTCTTTACCCGTCGGCTTCCCGTGGCTGTCATGCGACCGGCTATTGCAGTTAATAATACAGCGGCTTCTTGACATTTTTGTGTTTCTTTTTATCGCTGTATAACTGATTTTAATTGAAAGCCTGCGTGCGCTAGTACCGCTTGCCACGAGTTCCCAGAATCCTTTGCGGTTCTACCCGTGAATGACGTCACATTTTCAATCTCAATATAATATGCATGTTAAATTTTATATTTGGGGTAAAATATCAAGTCTTTTCAAGTAAACCGGTTCAAGTCCAATTCAAGTCCCAAGTCATTGGTGTAAAAGTCCAAGTCAAGTCACAAGTCTTAGAACATTTTTTCAAGTCAAGTCTAAAGTCATAAAATTAATGACTCGAGTCTGACTCGAGTCCAAGTCATGTGACTCGAGTCCACACCTCTGGTAAACACACACAAAAAATTATTTTATGTGCTGTTACAAGTAATGTGTTACTGCCCATCTCTGGTCACTGATAAGAGAGAGATATACTGACACTGTGTTTTTCAACTTTTAGGAATGATAAACGCTTCTTCTTAAAGACTCAGAACAAAAGGGAAATTAAGTTCCTTCTGGGCAACCTGAAGATCTACATGGAGCACCTGAGGAAATACCCACATTCACTGCTGGTCAAGTTTTTAGGTACCACACACACAGACTGAGAAATATCTCTGTACATCACTCACAATCCCCAGGGTCCGGTCAACCCTCCACATTAGACTGGATGCTTCTGTTCACAGTGTTACAGTATAGTGGGCACATTTTAAGAGTCCAAGAGTCCAGAGTCTGGCTGGCTCAGATGCTGGCAGTTCTCACTGCAGTCTACCGGTAGCGTCTCCTTTTAGGCCAGGATAGACGAATGTCACCGAGCAGTGACTAAGTTTGTGGTAAAAGGCTTGCCCCCGATTTTCGGTAAGTGAATGTGTTTAATTGTAGGCAGGGACATTACTGGATATTCTTGTGTAATTGCTACAGAATAATGGTAAATGGCCTGTATTTATATAGCACTTTACTAGTCAAAAATAAACCTGCCCCGGGGCCTACCACAGCACTTTCACACCTGTGCCATGATACACAAATAATAAAATGCCATCTTGGATGACATTTACCCTGCACTCGTCCTTTGTATATCTTGGCACAGGCATAATATCTCTGTGGTAGTCCTATCAGAGCAGAAAACACTTGCAGCACACCTACAGCTTTCTGATGAATGATCCCTTTTTTCAGTGCAATGTTAAACAAACTCTGCAGGGGAATTTCCACCGAAAGCCTTTTACCTTCACAATGACACATTTTTCTCTGTTGCAGTTTGATTTTTACCTCGTTGAAATTGCAGCAACAATTAAACAACAGAAATTAGCTCCCTATAATAAATACACCAAACAGTGGGCGAGTGAAAAGCAACAGAAATTAGCTCCCTATTATAAATACACCAAACAGTGGGCGAGTGAAAAGCAGAGGCCCGTGCTATGCAGAAGACGTGTGTAGGAAGTCACTTCAGGTTTAAACTTGGCTGGTTTTGATCACTGGTTCCCGTCTTATCTTGCTGCTGATGCATGCCTAACATGCTCTGGAGCAGATTACGTTCGAGACAACAGATCAGCACGAACAAAACCAAAACCAACCCAGCAACTCCACAGAAAGTGGTGTGGCGTATTGCAAGGGGCATAAAATCCCTTCAGCGTGCAGACAGTAAGAAGGTGTGAAGTCTGTCTGTAGTGAATGAAAATGAGTACAATTATGAATTAGTAGAATCAACTTTATTGATTTTTCCCCTGTTAGCTTCAATTTGAAAAGTACTTTATTACTGAACATTGTGATTACTGGAACTGTCAGCTTAAACAGCTGTGATTTTTGCTGCCCTTCTTTTCTGGTTAAAAAAAGGTTTATAGAAGTTTGTTTTCCAGTGTTATGGAGCAAAGCTCTTAAAGTTTACACAAAGTCCTGTGAATCCTTTTCCTTTCACTCGTACTGTGCTGCTTTGTCTGCAGTAGCTGTCACTTTCAGCGTATCATGTGTTTGACCTCTTCTGATTTTTCTAATATTAGTTTTATCCTCTTTTGTCCATGTATCTGATTGCACACGTGTTAAAAATTTGTATCTTATCTTAGGTTTGTGATTAATTGGCTTCATAAATACGATATTTATCATCTGTTGAGCCCACTAGTTTCCATTATTGTGCTGCTTTTAACTTGTATTAACAAAAGAGGTCAGCTAGCTTCTTATTGTTTTAGGATCTCATGAGAAATGAAAGGAACTTCGTTTTTGGGTAGGACCTCTTTGTTCATAATTTTAAATATCAAGCACTTTTCTATGCAAACATAGCCAGTAAGAAGTGCCTGGAAAATAAAATAATGAAAGCAATTTCAAAATAAAAGAGAAAGTGATTAAAAATGAAACTTAAAAAAAAACCAAAACGATTTTTGTAACTAGTGAAAACACCAAAACTGAGAGAAATGTCAGCCTTCAATGATCGACCTAGACTGAACGCTCAGAGGGGAAATGTATGGAGCCCTGAAAGGCGAATGAGAAGAACAATCCATGTGTTATTACTCGTGTAACATTGGCTCTTTTTACTTGTATGAGTAACTTAAACTTTAATAATACTGCAGTACAGAACTTCAGTGAATAATTGAAGAACAGATTATGACAAACACATTTTTATGAACAATCCCTCGGATGAATGCGACTTGTCACCAATTCCATGCACCAACACAAAACATGGAAAACAAGGACAGTGCCCTCGGATTGGCAGACTAAGGTGGTGAACCAAGGGATCATAAACCTCAGCCTCCATAGGGAAGCTACACCACTGTCCTGGTATGTCTAAGTATCACAAGTATTGGATGTTATCGTACGTGTATTTCTGGTGGACTCTCTTTCTGTTTTACCTAGAGTTGTGATTTGCATCTCATGGTGGTTTTGTCTTTATCTCCTGTTACCTCTGGCTCTCTTCCACTGCATGTCTTTCCTCCTCTCACCCCACCCGGTCACCACAGATGGCCGCCCCTCCCTGAGCCTGGTTCTGCTGGAGGTTTCTTCCTGTTAAAAAGATGTTTTTCGTTCCCACTGTCGCCAAACTGCTTGCTCATAGGGGAGCAAGGATAATCCATATGATCGTTGGGTTTTTCTCTGTATGTATTATTGTAGGGTCTACCTTACAAAATAAAGCACCTTATTGTGATTTGGGGCTGTATAAATAAAACTGAATTAAACTGAATTGAACAGGTGACAGCGAGTTCTCATTTGCAATAAACCGTAGAGTAGGTTTTAGAGTAAGAGGTTTTATGTTGCAAATCCCACATCCCACTTAAAATAAATCCCACTTAAAATAAATGTCTCAATTAAGTAACTGGTTGCTTGTTTTTAGGTGTTCACAGGATCCAAATCCCACAAAGACGAAAGGTACAGATACATTTTACGCCTGTTCAGTTCTGTTGAGAATTACAATGTGAAACAAAGGATTATAAAGTACTTTTTCCCATTTATCTGTTCCAGAAGTTCTTCATTGTCATGCAAAGTGTGTTTTATCCAGATGATCGCATCAATGCCAGGTAAGCTTGGAAGGATGTCCTTTACAAGCATCCATATGCGACAAGTTGAAGTTGACTATTGCTCAGGAACTGCAAACCTTCCGATCTCTTACAAACAGACTAGCACATGCTTGCATGGCTTTGGATGCTGATGCGACAGGTGCTGTCCGTGACTCTCTTGTGACTTTTTTTTCACGCTTGCACTTTTTAGACATTTACTTTGTAGTGCCTTCTATGCATTATGTACCAGGGATTGGGTTCACCTATACCAGGTGAACCTTGTTCCTGGAACTTTTGGGTCACGTTTCGATGGTCCAAGCCTCTAGCAGAACCTTGAAAACATCCAGTTATGCCTTTTTTGTGTTGTCAGGTATGACATTAAGGGCTGTGAGGTGAGTCGCTGGACAGAGCCTGCACCAGAGGGAAGCCACATCATCGTGGTTCTCAAAGACCTCAACTTCGAGGGCCAGTTCATCACTCTGGGTAAGAGCATTTATGTATTCAGGGTATAAGTTCAAAAGGTAGCATTATTGCACCTTCTTCCAGGCCTGTCACTGCAGTATCTCACTGCAAATGTCATGTCCATGTGCCGGAGTAACAATTAAATACCAGTTTTTGTGTCAGTATTGTGTTTTTCGAGCTGTGCGTTGTTTAATTGTTTAGACCAGCAGCGTTCCTGGCTCCTGCGACAGGTGGAAATTGACACACACTTCCTTCGCCAGCTCAACGTGTTGGACTACAGCCTTCTCCTGGCTCATCAGCCCCTACACCATGACGAGCGCCACCAGGGCCTCTCCTTTGCTACGCTCATCGTAAGAGCAAAAAAGTACGTTTTAGTACCCTGATTTTCATTTTTGTTGCATTTAGAGAGTTCTGATTGCGTATTAATTTTGGGAGGATTCCAGCAATTTTAAAACACTGAAAAGTGATGAACTGCTTCAATTCTTCATGATTCAACAAGGTGTTAGAAACATTCCTCTGAGACTTTGGTCCATATTGACATCACACATCACACAGTTGCTGCAGCTTCAATCCAAATGTCACAGCAGAAACCAAACTTCATCGAACCACGCAACGTTTTTCTATCCAAGCATGAAACCTGGTGTGCTCTCCTGCTGCTGCATCTGCTTCAAGATTCAACATGTGTGTTCAGAGAGGGTTTTTTTTTTGTTTTGTTTTTTTGGGGTTTTTTTTTTTTTTTTTTTTTTGTTGCCTTCCTATCAGGTCAAAGCAGTCTGGCAATTCTCTTTTGTCAGCCTCATTAACAGGACATGTTTATCCAGAGAACTGCCTGGCACTTGATATTTTCTCTCTCTTCTCAGACTATTCTCTGAAAACTCTAGATATGGTTGTACGGGAAAATCTCAGCAGCTAAGCAGTTTCTGAAACTCTCAGATCAGCCGGTCTGGCACTAATGGCACTGCCTCATTCAAATTCCCTATCCTGATGCTTGGTTTAATCTTCAAAAGGTTTACGTGCCTAAATGCACAGAATTTCTGCCATGTGAGTTGCAAATTAAACATTTTTTAAACATGGCTGTTAAAATGTTGGGTAACGCGTTGTGAGAATTGCACTGCATCACTGTTTTAGGAAACCTGAGACTTCTGTCTCAGCCAGTGCTCTTTGAACTAACAACCACAGAAAGTACAGAGAGCCTCACCAGCAGACTGGGTTTGGTTTGTTTCTTTGCTGACATTACAATAAATATAGATAAATCTCTTAACACCAGATTTATCCATACAATAACAAATACCTGCAGTCATGACAACATGCAAGCATGGAGAAAGTGAAAGCACAGCATGACATCATTATGATCTTTAAGGTGTATGAAACAAAAGCTCCAAATGAACACGAACACAAAAACACAAACACAAATGTGTTTTAAAATCCAGCTGTTGTATTAACAAGGTTAACTCAGCAGATGGAGCACTAAAGACAAAATAAGAGAAAACAATCAGAAACAACTCGCTGGCCGAATGTTTTTTTTTTTCATTCCTAAAATAAAAGTGGAACATCAGGAGCATCAGACACCTCGTCCTAAGCCAGAAATTGTAATTTCCATTAGTGTGTGACGCATGCTGCTTCATCACTCACTCACATCCAGAGCAGTGGGCTGGGCTCCCAGACTAAGCTTCCTGCATAGGGTCCTGTTGCAGAATTCCTCCACTTAAGTTTTTTTTTTTTTCACTCTGCTTTAAATTAGAAGAAAACTGAGTCATTGCTGGTTTTGTTCAGTTACAGACTGTAGACACAGCTTCAGGCGAATATAAAATTCAGACACTGAGTCATGGTTGCCTTTTTGTTTTTGGCCCACGATATGCTTGATATCTGGCTTCAATTCAAGCACAAGCCCTGAATCACAGAATAATATAATGCATGTGGAGCTCAAATATTTACACTGAATATTTTGTATTTGAATTGCATGCAAACTATTTAGCTACCCCTTGATATGTATCTAACTGTTATACAGTGGGGCAAAAAAGTATTTAGTCAGCCACTGATTGTGCAAGTTCCCCCACCTAAAATCATGACAGAGGTCAGTAATTTGCACCAGAGGTACACTTCAACTGTGAGAGACAGAATGTGAAAAACAAATCAATGAATTCACATGGTAGGATTTGTAAAGCATTTATTCGTAAATCAGGGTGGAAAATAAGTATTTGGTCACCTCAAACATGGAAAATCTCTGGCTCTCACAGACCTGTAACGTCTTCTGTAAGAAGCTTTTCTGTCCCCCACTCGTTACCTGTATGAATGGCACCTGTTTGAACTCATCATCTGTATAAAAGACACCTGTCCACAGCCTCAAACAGTCAGACTCCAAACTCCGCCATGGCCAAGACCAAAGAGCTTTCGAAGGACACCAGGAAAAGTATTGTAGACCTGCACCAGACTGGGAAGAGTGAATCTACAATAGGCAAGCAGCTTGGTGTGAAAAAATCAACTGTGGGAGCAATCATCAGAAAATGGAAGACATACAAGACCACTGATAATCTCCCTCGATCTGGGGCTCCACGCAAGATCTCATCCCGTGGGGTCAAAATGACCATGAGAACGGTGAGCAAAGATCCCAGAACCACACGGGGGGACCTGGTGAATGACCTGAGAGAGCTGGGACCAAAGTAACAAAGGTCACCATCAGTAACACACTACAACAGCAGGGAATCAAATCCCGCAGTGCCAGACGTGTTCCGCTGCTGAAGCCAGTGCATGTCCAGGCCCGTCTGAAGTTTGCCAGAGAGCACATGGATGATACAGCAGAGGATTGGGAGAATGTCATGTGGTCAGATGAAACCAAAGTAGAACGTTTTGGTATAAACTCAACTCGTCGTGTTTGGAGGAAGAAGAATACTGAGTTGCATCCCAAGAACACCATACCTACTGTGAAGCATGGGGGTGGAAACATCATGCTATGGGGCTGTTTTTCTGCCAAGGGGACAGGACGACTGATCCGTGTTAAGGACAGAATGAATGGGGCCATGTATCGAGAGATTTTGAGCCAAAACCTCCTTCCATCAGTGAGAACTTTGAAGATGAAACGAGGCTGGGTCTTCCAACATGACAATGATCCAAAACACACCGCCCGGGCAACAAAAGAGTGGCTCCGTAAGAAGCATTTGAAAGTCCTGGAGTGGCCTAGCCAGTCTCCAGACCTCAACCCCATAGAAAATCTGTGGCGGGAGTTGAAAGTCCGTGTTGCTCGGCGACAGCCCCAAAACATCACTGCTCTCGAGAAGATCTGCATGGAGGAATGGGCCAAAATACCAGCTACTGTGTGTGCAAACCTGGTAAAGACCTATAGTAAACGTTTGACCTCTGTTATTGCCAACAAAGGTTATGTTACAAAGTATTGAGTTGTATTTTTGTTATTGACCAAATACTTATTTTCCACCCTGATTTACGAATAAATTCTTTACAAATCCTACCATGTGGATTCATGGATTTTTTTTTCACATTCTGTCTCTCACAGTTGAAGTGTACCTCTGGTGCAAATTACTGACCTCTGTCATCATTTTAGGTGGGGGAACTTGCACAATCGGTGGCTGACTAAATACTTTTTTGCCCCACTGTATTTCATTTATTTGGGTTTATTAGGGTTGTTATTTGTATATTTAGGTTTCTCAAATCAATGTGCGTGCCTAATAAGAATTATAATAAATATTTTGATGTCCATTAGTAGAAATGGGCCTTCATGGTCAGTGTCTGAGGTCTTCTTCCCCAAGCTATAAAGCCTGCTTCATTTAGCCCTGTAAAGTCTGACTGATATGCCTCTAAGCTCTTTGTTGCTTTTCTCTTGAACATATGTTTGCATGATGATATAGAGCCAATATTCTAACTAATAATTAAACTTTTTGTAATTAAAATAAACAAGGGTTAGTTAGATTTAATTCCTGGTTGAATTTATAACTTTACTCGCTTAGAAAGAAATTAACAGATTCTAACTTTTATGGTACTTTAATTTTAATGGAGAGAGACAGGATATCAAAAATACCAAAAAGCCAGAAAAAAAAACCTATTACATAAACATTATAAATTGATTTGCATGTCATTGAGTGGCTCATCCAAATTTCAATTCGTCATGTTCCTAAAGCACCCCTGTCATTCCAACCTCTCCAACACTGTGATAAAGACCAAAGAGCTGACAAAGGGAGTCAGGGACAAGACTGTAGACATGCTTAAGGCTGGAAGGGGGGGGAAAGGGCCATCAGCAAGAAGCTTGGTGCCGAGGTGACGAGTATTGATCCGATTATACGGTAATGGAAGAAATATGAAATGACCATTAGTGGCCCTGGGTCTGGAATGTCATGCAAGATTTTGCCTCATGAAGGGAAGATGATCTTTAAAAGGTGGTGGATGACCCAAAACCTAATGACAGGAACTTGTTAATGATCAGGTGACCACCTACACTAAATGCCTTACCTCTGTGCTTGTCAACAAGGGTTTCTGCACTACTTCTGTGGTGAATCTTTGTAGACCTTGCAACGTAACTGACATTAATAGCTGACACCATTACCAGGATTCATGCTTTTCTGTGATGTTTTATGTGTTAATTACTTTGTGGTTGTGTCCCACAGCTTCATCTGTCCTTATACTAAAGTGATGACTCTTATTCTCTCACTGATAAAATTAAAAGCTGCAATGAGAAAGTAGCCTGAAATCCACAGCAGCAATCGACAGTACTGAAAAGCAGTTATATTTCCACAGCAATGCACGTCAGCTTTAGTGTATGTTAAGTGACAGGATTACAGAGGCCTCTGTGTTTTTGATGTACCTGTGGTCTGTAAGTCCTCAGTGGTGGACTCTGCTCTTCAGGTGATTTGTTTGCATTTATAAAATGTTTTTTAGTGACTTAGCAATCAAAAATATAATCATTCTACCTAAAATACATTAGAAACATGACGTTTTGGTTTACCATGTGAGTGGTAAACCAAATGCCTTACCAGCCCCAACCCTAAACCCAAATCAATATTAAAAAGCATTTTTAGTAACTAATTAGGTATGTAATCTCTGCATACCAGCCCCAACAGTAGTTTCTAAATCTGTTGGAAACTCCGTCATCAGTCTCTCCTGACATTTTTTCCAAAGCTGGTAGGGTTTGGTGTGTTTTACCGCAGCTGTTTAAGCCCTGACTACAAAGCACCATATAAAAGATTTGATAAAGCCAACTTTTAGTCAAGACCTCAACTATAAAAACAGAAATTAGCATAGCTTCCAAAGAAACTGTGAATGCATAAATGTCTTAAAGTTAAATCAAAACCAACAGGTCATTAGCAGCTCATTTGCAGTTAAAGTTAGAGCTAGGGTTACGTTCAGTTTTTTCTTTTCAGTTTCTGAAATTGGCACCAGTGTCCAGTTTTTGAAATATAAATAGCTGCAAGTGCACAATCACGACTGTGTGTCTCATTTAGACACTCAGACACTGAGCCATGTGCTAATTGCACACATTTCTGCATCTCTGCCATTCAAAGAGACTGTGTATATAGTTTATTGTGTGAATGCCGTGAGGCCCGGGTTCAAATCCTGCTTATGGCAACAATTTTTTCAGTTAACAGTTCAACCTTTTTAACTCTTTTCAACATAAATTTCAGCTTCTTCACCCCTTTGCAGCACAAATTCCAGATTCTTCAGCTGTTTTCAGCAAAACCCTCAGCTTCTTTACCTCTTTTCAGCACAACGTTCTGCTTCTTTACACCTTTTCAGAAGAAACTTTTGCTTCTTTACCTCTTTTCGGCAGAAGTTTCAGCTTCTTGGCCTGTTTTCAGCAGAACTTTCAGTATCCTCATCTCTTTTTAGCAGAACGTTCAACAGGTTCACCTCTTTTCAGCAGACAGTTCAGCTTTTCCCACCTCTTTTCAGCACAAATCTAAGCCTCTTCTGCTCTTTTCAGCAGAATTTTCAGTTTCTCCATCTCTTTTTTGCTGAAAATTCAGCTTTTTCACCTCTTTTCAGCACAAATTTCAGTTTCTTCACTGCTTTTGAGCACAAAGTTCTGCTTCTTCACCTCTTTTCAGCACAATTCAGCTTCTTCTGCACAGTGCACATTTTTTCTCTCATCATATCGTTGCTTGGGAGTAGAACTGGTTTGGCTTACTGGGATGAGTAGCCGCTGTGAGACCCAGTGGCGAAGTTTCGAATCCTACCTGTGGGGGTTGCCGCACATCTTCCCTGCTTGCATGCACACTGCTTTCTTATCACTCTGCAGTATACCCTTTCAAATACAGCCATCTTCAGCAAGCACTTCAGCTTCTACACCTCTGTTCAGCAGATAATTCTGCTTCTTCAGCTGTTTAGCAGATTCCACTACATGGCATTCACACTTTCGCAGGAAATGCAACTGTTTCTAGTTTTATGTAATATTCAGTACTGAACTTAAAACTTTTCAAGGAATCAATTTATCATTCAGTGTTTTCATAAAAGCCTTATTTTTACACAAACGAGGTTTAAGGCCTGGAGACGTTTGAAGCTTTTTGTCCTCCACAATGGAAAATGGCTAAAAATAAAAAGCCACTTTAGCCACCTCCTAATTTTATTAATTCTGTGCTCAGCTTTGAGTCTCTAACATCATTAAAACATAGCTGCTACTGCTCATTTTACATTTTTCGCTTGTGTTTTCACTCTTTCCCAACATGCTCAAATCTCTAGATTCATATATGTCCAAATTCCTTTGGAAAAATATGCCCCCACGTATAAGCTTAAAAACACTACAAAAGACCAAGGATAAAGGAGGATTAGAACTACCTAACTTTCAGCACTACTTCTTAGCCAACAGGCTTCAGTTTATCTCAGGATGGCTAAAACATACCTTCTTAGATGAACCTTGGCTAGATGTAGAAAAAGCACTTTACAATAATCTAGAGATTTCAGATCTACCATTTATCAGCTCAAACATCCAACGACATGAATGCTTCAAAAGCGTCAACATCGGCTCTTCTCTGACAGCATGGTGGGAGTTTCTAAAAATAACGGAGTCTTCATTAATCCCATGCAAACGTACACCTATCTGGAATAACCCTGACATATTACAAAACAATAATATGATAAACTTTTCAGATTGGAGTGGTAAAGGAATCAAATATGTAGAACATATACTAGAAGGAACAGAATTTATTTCATTTGACAGACTAGTTACACAATATGGGATCAACAAGAAAAGATTTTTAGAATATCAACAAATTAAATCCATAATAAACTACAAACACCACCAAGTGTGGTTCAGTTTCTTACTCTTAAAACCCCCAAATTACTATCCAAAATATACAGAATGCTTTCTAAAACAGATGAATCAATATCACTTCCTATGGCAAAATGGGAAGCGGATTTATCAGTTAACTTAGACCAAAACTTCTGGTCTCAGATTTGCTTAAAAACCTTTCATCTAATCAGAAATCCCAGAAATCGCTGCTGCACTGGGCCCCAGTCTGGATGGGCCTGGGCCCACTTTCCCTGGCGGGTCGCGGAGTATGGGGGTGCCTACTGGGGTCAGCGGGGGAGCTGACCCCAGCTCCACCACAACCACCGACACATGCAGGGACTTGGAGTAGGGGTGTGTCACCAGCGTGCAGAGGAGGCATCCCCCCCCTCTGTCCCCTTCTGGCTGCCTCTGCCTCAATTTTATCCCACAACTCAGACATTCACATTACTCACACTCTCATTACACATACATATAGGATCTTGGGGGTGGACACGCTACACGGAATCCAAATTATCATCAGGGTGTACACCTCACCCCTGGCGTCGTTGCCCACCTCTCAATTTTAAATACACGTAGACATTGAGGGCTAGCAGGAGGGACCATGCGCTTACCTGCTGCTCTCTGGCAGGTAGCTCCATGCCCACCTCTCAATTTTAAATACACGTAGACATTGAGGGCTAGCAGGAGGGGCTATGCGCTTACCTGCTGCTCTCTGGCAGGTAGCTCCATGCCCTCCTGGGTTTTAAATGCACTTTAGAACACACATACATCAACACTACAATGAGCGGGTGGAGGGAGGTTTGGAGTCTTCTCTCACCCCCGTTCTCTGCGGCCTGCTGAAGCGGGGGGGCTAGAAGGAGGACTTGGTCGTCCGACTGCGGTCTGGAGTGTGGGGCCTCCCTGCTGCTGCGGAGTCGGGGTGGTCTGCTTCTCCCCACCGCAGGGAAAAGGGTAACACTACCTGGGTCTGGGTGCAGTCCCCCCCTCCAGGGGCAAGGGTACCTAGACCCGGTTTGTAGAGTACGCTTGGGGAGTGTGATCGTGTGTACAGCGTCTCTTTATATCTGTCTCCACGTTGGTTGAGTGTGGAGTAAGTGCATATGAGAGCATGAGAGTGGGAATGGATGTTTGTATCTGTGTGTGCCTGTATGTCTGTGTCTTTATGTCAGGTTGGGTATCAGACGCCACCTCTCTGGGGACATCTCAGGCCCTCCAAGGTTTGGAGGCCTATCTCCCCCCACCACTTCCCCTGCCGGTGGCGGACTCCCTCAGACATCAGTTCGTTGTGTCTGGGGATGGGCGTCCGGGTACACACCGGCTCACTCCTTGGCGGCTGCTTATCAGGGCCTGGAGCCTGGGGCTCGCTTGGGCCACTTTGGAGGTGGGGTGCCCCCGGCCTCTCGGCCTGGGGCTCGGTCACTCAGGCACAGCTGGCTGCCGTCGGAGCTCACGGGCACGTCACTGCAACCCGCCCTGGCTTCTGCTCCGCGGCTACTGAGTGAGCCCTCATCTGGGACTCTCCTCAGCTCTTTCTGGGACAGTGGCGCGGCTGCCCCTCTGTTGGTCTTCCTTGGTCTCTTGTGTTCTGGGGGCCTCTGGATGTCTGGAGTTTTGATCTCCTCCATACCTGCTTCATGCCCTGGAGGACGGGGCTGTGGCCCCCCCACACCCTCTAGCAGATCATTACATGAAGGAACCTTTTAAAAAAACAAGCGCGTCCATGCTCACAGGTGTACACACGGGTGATCACACCCACAAACTGCACCCTTTTTGGTTCCTACCTCAAAGCACACTGTGTTCTGTTGATCTTATGTGCTGCACAATAATGTTTAATATTTAGTATTTACTGTCATATTCCCATATATCATTGTGATGTTGTTTATTCTATTACTCTCGTTTTCTTCTGCTTGTTTTCTTTTTTCTTTCTCAACAGGTGATCCAGGTGATCGATAGATGTATTTTTTTTTCTGCCCATTCTGTTGGTTTTTGTTTTTTGCCCTTCTCCCCCGTCCCTCTTCTCAGCTGTTTTTCTTTCCCTCTTTCTTTCTCCCCTTCTTTCCCCCAGTCAAGTCTTTCCCGTATTCAGCAAGTGAAAATAAAATAAACAATAAAAGGTGAATCAAATGGACCATTACGGCAAGGCTGGGATGGTCAGTTTGGTAAAGTAAATCCGTTGGGCATCTTTCTTTGCCTTTAGACAACAATTCTGATGGCAAAAGAGCCAAACGGGACAGGCAAAAAAAAAAAACCATGCTCAAATTTAATTCGGTTCCCTGTCTCTCTGTGCACCTTGCCATTTTGTGTGAAAATTCCATTAGATCAGGATTTCTGACTCAGACTATCCTGTCTGACACCACCAACCACACCAAGTTCCAAGTCAATTTAATAAGCCCTTTTTTCCATTCTGATGTTCAACCAGCAGTCGTTTCAACCATGTCCACACGCCTTAGTGCATTCTTCTATAGGAGTGGTGGATGAAATATTTGCCTTTACCATCTTGACACCCATTAGGCCAGCAGTAACCAGTGTGGAATTTTAGGGTTGCTCTGGGTTGCTTTTATTTAGGCTCATTTCTCAGAAACCAAAAGATATTACCTTTCAGATTTTTGACTATATATTCTCTTAACATATTTTCTTTTTAACTGTTTCAAATTTGAATAAATATTATAAAAAATGGTAGACTGTAACCTAACCCAAGCCCCAGGCTTAACCCTAAATGAGTCATCAGTTACCTGGTGTTCAGAAATTAATGCATGAGTATAATGGCGTGGGAATTCAATGTGTGTATTCAGTCTGGATTCACTTGGTTCCCTAAACTCTGTTGTAATCTGTCTAGACCGGACTGAAAGGATTACAAAAGGGTCAATTAGGATGTCCGTTTCAGTGACTCATTCTCATCTGTATGGCTTTTCTTTTCAGGTCTGTGAATCCAGGCTCCAGTCCAATCCATATGAATGCAGCCACAGTTCCCGGAGCAGTCGTGGACGAGGACCCTGCCCTATCCTTATCTGAAACAGACAGCGGCTTAAAGACACCACACTCTCAAGCTGCATCAAGGAGCAGCTCTCCTCGAACATGTGCAAAGGATGCTGGGCCAGCAAGCGCCGAGGCTGAGCTGCAAGACTTCCAAGCCCAAAACCGACGTTTGCTGCCAAACTTAAAGAATCCTCTTCACATCATTGATGGCCCCGAGCAGCGCTACTTTGTCGGCATCATTGACATTTTCACAGTTTACAGTTTTAAGAAGAGGCTGGAGCATTTGTGGAAGAGGTTGAGGCACCCCGGTCGGTCCTTCTCAACCGTCAGTCCACAGACTTACTGCCTCAGGCTGTGTCAGTGGGTGCAAGACCACACCAAGTAGAGCCTGAACAAGAGGTGGAAACTCATTTCAACTTCTCACCTGCAAGTCCAAATAACCAAAGTTCAAACGCATGGCGTAAAGCACGTTTCCTCTCAAACCTTCTCATCATAAGAACTTCAGACATTAAATGTGGGCCTCACCTCTGAGCCTTTAGCAGATACCAAAATGATTTTTGCACACACATAAATTAGATTTTGTAGAAAATGGATGGATGGCTGATTACGAAACAATGCAATGAAACAGGCTGTACGCAAATAGGAATTTCATTATTTATTTGAACATTTTTTTGGATTGGATTACTTCTTTATACTTCCTTAACCTGCCAAATAGTTTTAAGACAAGTATGCGTTTCAGCCCACTGTGTTCAAATTTTAGAATTATATTCTGGATTTGACGCTTCAAGCTGAATGTTTGGGGTATCTTAGCTTGCTATGACCATGAGTCTGAGCCGAAAACTCTGTACTTGGGCCCACCCTAACGCATAAGCTGCTTTATTCTACATTTTGACTCTGAGTGGGACCATAATTTACAGACTAAACACCAAGTTGTGTTCAAAATGGCTTAAATTGAGTGACTCTGACCACAAACACATCAAGAAAGTGATTAGAGAAGTCGTGAATCCAAAACAACACAGGGTTATTTTCTGATTTCTCTTCTATACATTCATACTTCTTTTTGCAACCAGAGGGTTTTAAAAGTAATGCAGGTGTAAGGCCTTTAATACACAGAGACTGTGATGTCCTCTATCCAGCTGTTATTGTTTCTATCCACTTCTTCTTCTGTTACTGCTAATGCTACCTCAGAAAGACTAATTTAAATACATGGGTGCATTAAAGGGTTAAATAAATACTTGTTTTGTGTTTTGCAAACCAGTGAGTTTGTGAAGCAAATATATTTGCAGCACAGGGAGCCTCATTCCTCAAGATCACATACATGTTCTAGCATCATGGAATAAAGCTGACTTGCAATCTTTTTTCTTTTTAATATATTTTCATTCTTATTGACTTCTGTAATGTACAGGGTGAACCTACAGCCATGGACCTTCTGTTTTTCCCCATCTACAGGGTGGGCCATTTATATTATATATAATAAAATGGGCCGCCTTCTAAATTGCCACCATGGTCACCACCCATCTTGAGGAGTTTGCCCCCTCACATATACTAATGTGCCACAAACAGGACTTTAATATCACCAACCATTCCCATTTTATTATATATAATATAAATGGTTCACCCTGTAGATGGGGGAACAACAGAAGGTCCATGGCTGTAGGTTCACCCTGTACATTACAGAAGTCAATAAGAATGAAAATATATTAAAAAGAAAAAAGACCTACAGCCATGTAGGTTCATGTCATCTTACCCTTAGATTTGAAAAAACATTTGAGAGAAACAAATTAAAAACAGGTAATTGAATTTTCTCTATAAATTATATTGTTCATGAGTGTGCTTGCATTTCTCAGCAAAACATTTTTTTTCTCCTAACTCAGCTACGCCTATGCAGGGCCAACCCAAATACGCAGGGCAAAGCTGCTCTGCAATCAAAGTCCACTCGAAAATCATTCCCCATGTGCCTTGAAAACCTCTGTACTGACGTCTTTGAGTAAACTGAATCCAAATTTCCATTTTGGAACAACGACACCCGAATAAATGAAAGCATAGGGTGATGTTAGAGAGCTAATAGCAAAAGAGCTTAGTGTAACTTCCAGAAAACCACTGCTGTTATTAACATCCATTAAATTAACTGCAGTTAATAATCTGGTGTTTCCAACCAATGCCAATGACTTGAACAAACCATTGTTTGATAAAGTGGAAGTAAAAGTGCTACAGGAATCTGATAAACTGACTGGAAGTTTCTGGCACTGAAAGCAAAGTGAAAATGCCTTAAAAATAAATAGATGGAGGAAAAAAAGGAATAAAAAGATTTTTTTTAAAAAGTTAAATAATTTAATAGATGGGTTTATTAAACCCTTGTGGGGATAGGTTAATTGGAAAATCCAAATTGCCATTCGGTGTGATTGTGCGAGTGAATGTGAGCGCGAATGGTTGTCTGTCTGTGTGTTGGCCCTGCGACAGACTGGCGACCTGTCCAGGGTGTACCCCGCCTCTCGCCCTATGACAGCTGGGATAGGCTCCAGCGCCCCCCGCGACCCTGAAAAGGAGAAGCGTAAGCGAATGGATGGATGATGGGTTTATTAAACAGCTAAATTAATTGAAAGTGCAGCAAGCAGTAAAAAAATGAGGCAAATTAATATTTTATGTAATCACCTTGTAATCACCTTGACACCTATTTAGGGCTCTGTGCTTTTAATCTTCTCTTGGCTGCACATTCTCTTTGTATGGCTCTGTTTGCATTTAGTGTTGTGATGTTGAATACATTCGTGATTCTTTCTCTGACAATACAAAGATCTCACAAATGCATGAAGGATTTAATGTGTGCAAATAAAATTAAATAAAAATGAAGACATGGGCAGCAGTAATTCACCCAATGCAAACATACAAAACAAAAAACAATAATTTCCTTTCCCACAGAAAGAAGTAAAGTGTGCCCACTGAGTAGATGGGGAAGAGCAAAAAATAAATAAATACAGGAAGAAGAAACTTGACTGGATCACAATTGCACCATAAATTAACTGTTCCGGAGTTCAACTGTAACCAGATCAAGACCACCTACTCCGAAGGCTTTCAATGTGGTTGTTTTAGTCCACACCCAAGTTTGATTAGCATGTTGGTATCTGCACAAACTAACTGCACCATGGGACAAAATGATTGAGAGTTTGAAGTAAACAGTGCAATGCCTCATTAAAGGTGGAGAAACACCACCCTTACTTCAAAATGCTTCTCACCAAAGTCACTGACAAAAAAAAAAACCTAAACAGTTATTTTGGCTACGTTCTTTCTGTGCATCTTTGCCAAAGTAAACCAGCTTCTGTTTCTGACCATGTAGCGTTACAGAGCAGTCACAGACTCAGGGGTTTAAAATGTGGCCGTATCTATTGAGAGGTCACTTGCGAGTTTGCGAAATCCTGGGTGACACTTTATAATATGACCCGACAGTAAGGGCATTATTCCCCTATAATTAAACAGACTTTAGTTGTTTTATTTTATTTATTTATGCATTTTATTTGAGTTTCAATGTAGGTTGTGCCTAAATATTTTACAGGGAAGGAAATACAAGGTATAGCGTGAGTTATTTGAAGTACAGGGTGGGCCATTTATATGGATACACCGTAATAACATGGGAATGGTTGGTGATATTAAAGTCCTGTTTGTGGCACATTAGTATATGTGAGGGGGCAAACTCCTCAAGATGGGTGATGACCATGGTGGCCATTTAGAAGTCGGCCATCTTAGATAAAACTTTTGTTTTTTCAAAAGGAAGAGGGCCATGTGACACATCAAACTTATTGGTAATGTCACAAGAAAAACAATGGTGTGCTTGGTTTCAACGAAAATGCGCCCGACGTCAGGGGTGAGCCATGGCTTCCAGCGGAGTTCCTCCTCCAGCTGGACAAAGGCTGCTCGGCGTCGCTCCTGAAGTTCGATGTCTGCTGGGTCCATAATATGGTCGCGATCTTCTGTCAAGTGAAGGCTGTGTGCAGGCAGGAAAAAGACCCAAAATGCAGACTCACGGAAACAAAAGGTGAACTTAAATAAGGCTTTAATGCTGGACGACAAAACAGAAAACTGGCTGAACAGCATACAAAATAAACTAACGCGGCGGGCTGGCAGGCTGGCAGACAGACAGAACACACAGTACAATATGATGGTCCGTGTCACCCCAACAGATATTTAGCGAGGAAAATTTAAAAACAAACAGCAATTAATTAATTAAAAAAACAATTTAAGATTGGGAATGTTTTGTGTTTTATTTTGGTTTTTCTAAAAATAATTACCATGATACCAATTACACTACTTAAAATTACTTAAGCTGTACTTAAATGTAATCAAGGTTTAATTATTGCTTTGTTTCCTGTAAAATCCGGTTTAATAAATCTGGAGCTGAGGATTTCCACTATGGCTGAGCCAGGTGGTGAAGAATGAGCCAAGATCCAAGGACACTGGATCTTGGAAGGCTGGTTATTAGGACAAGACAGCCACCTTCACCACATGAGATGGATGCCACCTCCCACCTCCCTTCCCCTACCCTCCTCCCTGTGTTTCTATATCTAAGCTTCTTTAAGTCCTTAGCCGACAAGCATACCTAGAATAACTTGAATTCTGCCTGTTATTATGACCATAATTTACAAATTAACTTGATATTTCATGGGGAAATATTAAGTTATGGGTCATGGGTGAAGGTCATGGGGAAGATTATAGATATAGATTATAGATTAATGGAGCTGAGGGCCATTTTCTCATAGACCTCTATACAGCTAGGAGTGTTTCTCTAGCTGGAGGACTCTACCAGTCTTTGCCTTCACTTACCAGACTTGGAGACTACGTCAGTTTTTTCTGCATGTGTGGAATGATACAATGGAAGTTTCTTTCTGTTTTTGAAAGGAAAAATAGAAAAATCCAGAATCAGAAGCTGTCCTTGCAAAATTCCTGTTTAGTCTATGTGATGTTGTCTGACAAACTGTTGTAACAGCAGTCTGGCGAGGAAGGAGCGGCTAGCAGGTCCAGCGGGCATGAGGTGTGGAGGTTAGCCGGATAACTCAAAGCCAGTCAGTTGAATCAAACAACAGACCTTTATTCGCTGTCAGCAAAATAAGACCACACTAGCCAGGTCTCCACGGCTCTACTCGGTCCGTACATACATGTGCAGAGATGGGTAGTCGCCGGCACCAGGCTGTTACAACGGTAAGGTTTCTCCAGAACAGACACACGAGCAGCATGTAATGGCTGCCGCTATACCGATTTTCATTGATTTAAACCTTTCTGTGTGTGATGACACAGTTTGATTGCACTCGTGTTGTGATCCATGTTAGGCTGGTTGGCTTTGTTGTCATGTCCTCTGATTTCTGTGTTCCCCTTTTATTGTTTTTATGTTCAGTATTTCAGGTTTGGATGTTGTCATGTTTTAGTATTATTTGACTTCCTGTTGTAGTTTGACCATTTGTTTTCTCATGTGTTATGTTCGCTTTTACTTCCTTTCTTCTTTCATCTCCTATGCTTACAGTTTTTGTGGTTTGTGTTTTTGCCTT